CACAGCAAGCTGCAGTCCTGCGATTGCGATTTCTGACGTTCCCTGCCAGCTTCTCACAAGCAAAGTTCACAGGGAAGTTGGAAGTCGTGATCACGTGAGTTCCTCACTTAACTACCCATGTGATTCTTATTTAACGATAGCAACTAAGACTACTGGAATTGCTGTTGCTAAGAACGCAGTCACATGATGTCGCTCTTTACAACCGCATTGCTTAGCAACAGAGTTCCCAGTCCCAACTGCTGTCGGAACCCGAGGACTACTGTAATTTTTTCACTATCATGTGCCTCTTTGAATGTTAAGTCATCTGAGATAGAAATGCTTCATATCTTCTTATCCAGGCTGTCTATAATAAACTCAAACAACACTTGGATTCCAACCCAAATCCTTATAACAGTATTTCTATGCTCCAATTCATGCATTTCTGTGTATCTACCCTCTGCCCTTATGTTTCTCCCTTTGACCTCTGCACTGTAGGCCCCAATCCTTAGTAGTATATTTGGTTCTGAGTTTTTGCCACTTTTCCCCTTTTGCTCTGGTTCAACACCTTCCTGATGAGATTAAGGCACCCGCCAAATATGTCCTTCCCAGTCTTAATAAGAGTAACTTCTGTTGCAAGGAGTTTTTCATGTACGTGGCTTAGTCCATGTTCTTAGCAGCATCTATGTGGCTAGTTATTCACTTTCAGGATCCTGTCCTCTCTTTTTGTACTATGACTCTCACCTGGAAGGACTGACACTACTTGAGTTCCCAGTGCCTTCACCTCCTTGCCCAAGGCCTCATTATTTTGAAGATCTACTTAAAGCCTCTTCTGGCAGTGTCATATAAACAAACCTAAGAAGAGGGACTGAATCATATCCATTCCACACAATGAACTTCTTAATGTACATAAAGCCACACTGAACTAAGTTCCATCTCAATTATTTTCCTTATAAAAGACTTTGTGCAAATTCCAAGAAAATCTGGACTCTTGGTACAGCAGATCCTGGACAGCATAACTTCACACTGTACTCATGCAGCAGCTTAAGTCCTTGGGTGATGAGCAAGCATTTCTGCTCGCCAGCCTGTCTCATCCAAGGGTGAAAGGGATTATCATTAGCAATGAACATTCCTAGTAGAATGAGCTTCTGATTGTAGAAATGGACAGGTAGAGGAAAAGAAACTAAGCTGCAAGAGAAGGGGTCTGAATCTACCAGTGGACATTCATTCCATTCCCAGCAGCCTCAGCAACTAGGATCCTGATGAAGCAGAATATTCCTAGGCATACCAGTGTTCTCTTAGGACAGCATTCTTGGTGCACTGTTAAGGAGAACAGAGGCTCATTGTCATATTTTGATCAAATCGTACAGGTAGAACAACTCTAAACTGTTCCACACATGCACATTGTCATATTTTGATCAAATAGTACAGGTAGAACAGCTCTAAACTGTTCCAAACATATCTGAATGGAAAACTGAAGAGGGTGGTGCTAAGGGATTTCTCCTTGACCCTGTGGTATTTACAATGTGGGGTTCTACAAGGTTCCACTTTATCTCCCATGCTATTTAAAATCTTTATGAGCCTGCTAGCAAAATCATTTGAAGATTTAAAGCAAATGTTATCAATATGCTAACTACAGCCAGCTTTATCTTTCCTTTTCACTGGATATGCTGAAAAGGACTAGAAAAGGGCCAATGAACTAAGGTCAAAGAGAAATCCTCTGCTCAGGCTGGATAACAGAGAGATTTGATTAGTAAATAGTTAATCAGTCCACAGTAGGAGAATTCATCATGTTCTGGATGGAGTTGCACTCTCCAAAAGGATGTTTCACAGTTTGAGGATACTTCTGGATCCACCTTTGACACCAGAGGCATAAGTAATCTGTGTGTAAAGCATGCTTCACCAGCTTAGGCTAATATACCAGTATGACCCTTCTTGGACAGAGACAGCCTTGTTATGGTAATTTGTTTAGATTACTGCAGTGCAGTATAAATGGGGCTACCTTTTAAGACAGTTCAGAAACTTTTTTGCTTCTAATTTGAATCTGAGGTGCCAGTCATAACCTAATCCATCACAGCTTGGAACAGCATCTGAAGGAACTCCTTTCACTACATTTTCCTCCCGATAACCTAAGATGAATTTCAGAGGCATGACGACATGGTAGATGGCTACCCAGAATGTTTTTTTCTCCACTGGATACTCCCCAGTTTGGAATACCCTCCCAAGTGATATATACCTGGTGCCATCTTTATTATTTTTCTGGAGCTAGGCCTTTTTATTATCTCAATGCTGTCGTGCTGTTTTTCCCTCTATTGTTGCCTTTCTTGTTATAGCTTTGGAATTTTACTTTGTATAATTTTATAAAAAGAGTAATGTATATTTTAAGCAGAACTGTGGAGTTGGAAGCAATTCTTGGGTTACTGGAGTCAGAGTTAGTAAAAATGTTCTGACTCCAACTCCTAATAAATTTAAATTGTATATAATATAAATAATGTTAAAATTTCCTATTTTGTAGATAATTTAACTTTTTTTCAGGATATATTTTAATTTTAATGCCTTGTATGTTGCGTGCTTGCAGTCGATATAGGAAATATATAATTAGTATATTTATAA